AGATATGGAGACTATGGTATAATTACAAAATGAAAGAAATGTTGGAACTTAAACCCTCCCCCCAAGTGCATTTAATTGCAATACATGAAACTTGTATAAATCATGTATACATAAACTGCATGATACCATATGTCTGATGTTGCCTGTATATTCAACAAAATTTTTCATCTACTATAAGAAATAGATTTTCAACCACAAAATCAAATTAATTCAAATAGGGCTATGACTTACACACACCAGAGCTTAGAAGAAAATTAAATAGTAACATGTCTGCTAACCCACATACAGCAGAAGCCCTCTGTTCAGCCTGCATGAGGTGAAAACTCTGCAATGTGTGATTGAATAAGGTCAGGAAGTGGGGGTGTATTCAGGGTGGGGTTCATGCCATGAGGCATAAACTTTCAGATCCACAGAAATTATTTACTTAATTAGTGGTTGCATCTACAATGATCTGGATGCTATACAAGTAATTTGATAACAAACAACTTCTGCCCCAAATAGATGACGATATAAGGTACTGATTCTGCAAACACTTTTGGACAAAGGATTAAATTTAGGCTGGATGCGTTTTTTCTGGGGGGAAAAAACCCTTTTTTAAAAAAAATGGTCTTCCTTAAAAAATGAGGTTTACGGGTTTTTTTCAAAAAAGGTTTTTTCCCTGAAAAGCTCCGCTTTCGAAAGTGAGATCAGAAGAAGATATGCAAATTCCCGCATATCCTCTTTTGAAAATAGAACGTAGTTTAGACGTACCCTTTTTGAGGAATACAGGATCTTTTGATAAAGGGTGGTTTTTTTCAAAAGAACGCGTCTAGACAGCAGGTTTGCTTTCAAAATACCCATTTTCGAAAGAACTCGCAGCTGCCATTATGCAAATGAAGCACGGGAAATTCAAATCGGGGCTTCATTTGCAATTTTGATCTAATTTACATCCCTCTTTTGAAACAGGGATGCAGTTTAGACATAGCAAATAGACATACTGAAGTCAATAGAGATATTAATTTGTATATTGCTATTGAAATACATTATATCTGAAATACCATATCTTACATATTCCCATTTCTTTACAGGTTTTGCTGCTTTATGCTTACAATACAAAGTATGTCAAGATTGTCAGCATTAAGACTTTTAATTCCGTTAATGTGTTTTCTGGTCACTTGTGGATTCCACTGACTAGGTAACTAATCACAGACGTTGTTGTATTAGTACATGCTATATTATGTGTGTGTTATGTCTACTGTATACATAATTTGTGTCTTAATAAAATGATGACAGCTTAGAAATATAACTTCGTATTTGAAGATAGATACTAAAGATAGAGATCAGCTGGGTAAAAGGAGGAATAGCTAGGAATAATGAGATAAAATTAGGTAAAATAAATTATAGGCTGAATAGCAGTAAACTTTAAGATCTATCAGACTGTGATAGACTCCCAAGGAAAGAAATGGAAGCAGTATTGGTTGAGCTGTGCAGAATTGGACTGGATGACGCACCAGGGAACATTGTGAAGTGAGTAATATTGTAGATACAAGGTATCCCTGGCCCAGTAAAGTTCAGGAACTTTCCAGTTTTGCTACACAAACTATAGCAATATCTTTTGTATTATTTCAAATCCAATCCAGATCATCAAATTGTTAAATTTAATTGATGTGTGCTGGCATACAAAACATATGCCATATGAACAAAGGCAGCAGGAGAAACTAGTATTTTTTAAGTATGTTTCTTTTTAACATTTCTATTGTGGTTCTTTTAAATTGCAAAGTGCCTAATACTGAATTCCTTCACATCTAATATTTCCATTGTCTTCAGTAAAAGTTGGATTTGTACAAAACTGCAGGATTAGGCTTGAAATGAAAGAAATCATCACAAAAAACTGTACAAGAAATATCCTATGTCAATTTGTTTATGTATGGAAATTATTAACAGATACAACATTGTTCTTTTTAGAATTATTTCTTTACGTGAACAATTGTCTAATGTGAAACATCAAATTGAAATTTTGATGCAGTCCTCTACAAGTTTTTCTTTACAAGTACAAAGTGAAGGACCAAAACGAATACTTTCAACGAAGTCCAAAATTAATCTTGCCAAGGTGCAATTTGATGAAAGAATAGAAGTAAGTGAGGACAAATTATGCTCAGGATTCTAAATATCTCTGATTGTCTGATGTCTTAGATGTTTATTTTTGAGGAAATGGGAAAGTTGGGAGAAAAAAACAAAAACGGGAGACCTCTCTTAACTACTTTAAGGAAGAATGAAACATTTTTACTCACCACACATAATCTTTAACTTTGTAACTTCTTTCCTGTGCCTGACACTTGACAAACATAAAATATGTTCTGTGCCCCTAAAAGTAAAGGCCACATTTTCAGTAAGTGTCTAATTATTTTAGTGATCTGTATTTGAAAATGTTGGCCATGAAGATCAACACAAAAGGTCTTTTGACAAAATAGTTTATACATCTTCAGTGCAGGATAGCCAGTGATTGGATTTTAAAAAGAGAACCTTCCAATAACTCTGAGTAGGGTTAACACTGGCAAAGAATTTCTTTTAATTTTCTCTGTACCACCATGCTCTTTTTTATTAGCTAGTCTGAATATGGCTCAGTGGCAGAAATAAATAAATACAAAAGAAGCAGTTTCAGAATTTCCATGTGGTCTCTTTGAGATAATGTCAATGGAATAGAATGTTGCTGCAGCATAACTGCTGCTTGATAAATGCCAAGGAAAAGTAGACATTTATTTTCAAAGTGGGAGACATTTATCATGTGACAGTATTCTCTTTATATCTATTATATGAAATGATTAATGATGTAGATGCTGTCATTTTGCTTGATGGGCGCTGTGAAGCGGTGACAATTGCTCACTGTGCCGTTATTGAAAACCTGCATTCTGACTGGCTTGAAGAACAAATGGTGCTTCAGCCAATCACAGAATACAGTGCTTTTACAAGGTAGACAGAGCTGGCCTTTAGTGACTGTTTCTGATTAGCTGAAGGTTTTTGTTCAAACTTTCATTAGTAAATAAGTCAGTGATCTGAAAAACACAGTCTGGAATGCTAATTGGTTGTGGCATTTCTTCTGTATGTTACATGTACTTAAATGTCCTCTTGTCTGCTGAATTCTAATGTCTTCTATAAATGTGTGGCAAAAATACACTTATAGGGGGCTCTCTCCTGAAATCAGTTGGTGTTTTGCCTGAATAAGTACTAAAGGATAGGCCCTTGAGCTGCTATAGAAAATATTGGCATGATTATATTGTGGATATTGTAAATCTGGTACTTTATAAACCTAAGATGTCTGAGTATCACTTCTCTGCAGTGTTAAAAAATGGAACATAAACATTCCCACGCTTGGAATTCTGTCAAAACAATAACCCCATGATTGTGATGCACTGAATAAGATTTTTTAAAATGATATCTAATAGTTCATAGCAGAAAACAGAAAATACAGCTTCATTTTTCCCCTTTTTTGTTATCATTAGGAAATGCTTAAACAATGTTTGTCTGAAGTAAAAGCTTTGCTGTGTGGTGTTTCAGATCTGTCTTCTCCATTAACTGAGGTATGATATTCTGACTTTTAAAAAACTTCTTTTTCTTCAAGGCTAAAATTATTTGATCAAATTAAAATACAGATGATATCAATCAGTGTCTTTCCTATTTTCTTTCCTGTGTTACTGCTTTTTAAGAGATTTATACAATCAAAATAGCATTGATGTATACAATAGCATGGTTATAAACCTTGTGTTTTCATTGTTTGACCTACAAACACTTTCTTCCACATACTATAGAAAATTAAAAATGCTCACAGTAGAATTGTGTAATTTTTCCCTTGTTCACCTTTGCCAAGATCTATATCTTTGCATGGATTATACCAGATTCCCAGCACTTTTAACTATATTGACTATACACATCCCTACATCTAGCTTTGCACCCTTCAGGCATTTGTGCTTTCCTTTGCTTCTTTTTTACTCTTACTACCAACATTTTTGGGAGGTAGATTATTACGCTTTTCATCCATGTTCGGGACATCCTGCTATTCCCCGGGAGTGGGAGCTGCCCGGAGACTGCACCCATGCCCCTGTGCTGAATCAGTGTGGGTGTGTGGGTGTGTGGAGATGTCCCCTGCCTCTGTGCAGAGGGGGCTTGTGGAGGCAGCGCGTGGGGTCAGGGGCATGTCATGTCTCTTCACACATGTGTGTGGCTAACAGGCCAAGGCCCTTGTGTGGCAGCCAGCTGGGGCCACGTGCCCAGGGGTGGCACGGCACGTGCTCGCATGTGCACAGGTTGCTGCATGATCTGTGGTCAACAAGGCCCATGCACGCAGTCCCTGGACTCCCTTTCCTCCCACCCCCAAATAAGGGGACAGTGATGGCACTCATATCTTGTTGCCTCACCGGCCTTGGACAACACCGGTGACAGGTCCACTGGGACGGCTTGGGGGTCCTGGCTGCGTAGCACACTCCCTCCTGGTTCATGCTGCTCCTGGCCCTCGTCGTCCTCCTCCTCATGCCCTGGTCAGGGCCCTCTGCCCCAGGGTCAATGACCACCTGGGGGGCATGGACTGTCCCACCCCCCAGGATGTGGTCCAGGGTGTCCAAATAGGGGCAACTCTCTGGGTCTGCTCCTGGTTGGGAGCTGCCCCCTGTGGCCCTGGCATACACCTGCCACAGCTCCTTAATTTTCATTCAAACCTGCTCCTGGGTTCGGATGTGGCCTTTGGTGGCCAGGCTGGCAGCCATCTGGCTGTAGACGGCCGCATTCCTCCGGCTAGTGCGGAGATCATGGACATTGGCGGCATCACCCCAAACCTCAATCAGGTCCATGATCTCCGCACTGGACCAAGAAGGCACCCGCCTTCTCTGGCCACTGGCAGCCTCCTGGGAGCTGGCAGACTGCTCCTGGGGAGCGGTAGAGGGCTGGCTGCCAGTGGCTTGCTGGCTCATGTTTTGGGGCCACTGGGTCAGGGGCAGTGACTGCTGGCTCTGGGCTGGCAGAAATGTGTTTTCTGGTCACTTGTGGATTCCACTGACTAGGTAACTAATCACAGACGTTGTTGTATTAGTACATGCTATATTATGTGTGTGTTATGTCTACTGTATACATAATTTGTGTCTTAATAAAATGATGACAGCTTAGAAATATAACTTCGTATTTGAAGATAGATACTAAAGATAGAGATCAGCTGGGTAAAAGGAGGAATAGCTAGGAATAATGAGATAAAATTAGGTAAAATAAATTATAGGCTGAATAGCAGTAAACTTTAAGATCTATCAGACTGTGATAGACTCCCAAGGAAAGAAATGGAAGCAGTATTGGTTGAGCTGTGCAGAATTGGACTGGATGACGCACCAGGGAACATTGTGAAGTGAGTAATATTGTGAGGCCACATTTTCAGTAAGTGTCTAATTATTTTAGTGATCTGTATTTGAAAATGTTGGCCATGAAGATCAACACAAAAGGTCTTTTGACAAAATAGTTTATACAAGGTATCCCTGGCCCAGTAAAGTTCAGGAACTTTCCAGTTTTGCTACACAAACTATAGCAATATCTTTTGTATTATTTCAAATCCAATCCAGATCATCAAATTGTTAAATTTAATTGATGTGTGCTGGCATACAAAACATATGCCATATGAACAAAGGCAGCAGGAGAAACTAGTATTTTTTAAGTATGTTTCTTTTTAACATTTCTATTGTGGTTCTTTTAAATTGCAAAGTGCCTAATACTGAATTCCTTCACATCTAATATTTCCATTGTCTTCAGTAAAAGTTGGATTTGTACAAAACTGCAGGATTAGGCTTGAAATGAAAGAAATCATCACAAAAAACTGTACAAGAAATATCCTATGTCAATTTGTTTATGTATGGAAATTATTAACAGATACAACATTGTTCTTTTTAGAATTATTTCTTTACGTGAACAATTGTCTAATGTGAAACATCAAATTGAAATTTTGATGCAGTCCTCTACAAGTTTTTCTTTACAAGTACAAAGTGAAGGACCAAAACGAATACTTTCAACGAAGTCCAAAATTAATCTTGCCAAGGTGCAATTTGATGAAAGAATAGAAGTAAGTGAGGACAAATTATGCTCAGGATTCTAAATATCTCTGATTGTCTGATGTCTTAGATGTTTATTTTTGAGGAAATGGGAAAGTTGGGAGAAAAAAACAAAAACGGGAGACCTCTCTTAACTACTTTAAGGAAGAATGAAACATTTTTACTCACCACACATAATCTTTAACTTTGTAACTTCTTTCCTGTGCCTGACACTTGACAAACATAAAATATGTTCTGTGCCCCTAAAAGTAAAGGCCACATTTTCAGTAAGTGTCTAATTATTTTAGTGATCTGTATTTGAAAATGTTGGCCATGAAGATCAACACAAAAGGTCTTTTGACAAAATAGTTTATACATCTTCAGTGCAGGATAGCCAGTGATTGGATTTTAAAAAGAGAACCTTCCAATAACTCTGAGTAGGGTTAACACTGGCAAAGAATTTCTTTTAATTTTCTCTGTACCACCATGCTCTTTTTTATTAGCAAGGCTGAATATGGCTCAGTGGCAGAAATAAATAAATACAAAAGAAGCAGTTTCAGAATTTCCATGTGGTCTCTTTGAGATAATGTCAATGGAATAGAATGTTGCTGCAGCATAACTGCTGCTTGATAAATGCCAAGGAAAAGTAGACATTTATTTTCAAAGTGGGAGACATTTATCATGTGACAGTATTCTCTTTATATCTATTATATGAAATGATTAATGATGTAGATGCTGTCATTTTGCTTGATGGGCGCTGTGAAGCGGTGACAATTGCTCACTGTGCCGTTATTGAAAACCTGCATTCTGACTGGCTTGAAGAACAAATGGTGCTTCAGCCAATCACAGAATACAGTGCTTTTACAAGGTAGACAGAGCTGGCCTTTAGTGACTGTTTCTGATTAGCTGAAGGTTTTTGTTCAAACTTTCATTAGTAAATAAGTCAGTGATCTGAAAAACACAGTCTGGAATGCTAATTGGTTGTGGCATTTCTTCTGTATGTTACATGTACTTAAATGTCCTCTTGTCTGCTGAATTCTAATGTCTTCTATAAATGTGTGGCAAAAATACACTTATAGGGGGCTCTCTCCTGAAATCAGTTGGTGTTTTGCCTGAATAAGTACTAAAGGATAGGCCCTTGAGCTGCTATAGAAAATATTGGCATGATTATATTGTGGATATTGTAAATCTGGTACTTTATAAACCTAAGATGTCTGAGTATCACTTCTCTGCAGTGTTAAAAAATGGAACATAAACATTCCCACGCTTGGAATTCTGTCAAAACAATAACCCCATGATTGTGATGCACTGAATAAGATTTTTTTAAATGATATCTAATAGTTCATAGCAGAAAACAGAAAATACAGCTTCATTTTTCCCCTTTTTTGTTATCATTAGGAAATGCTTAAACAATGTTTGTCTGAAGTAAAAGCTTTGCTGTGTGGTGTTTCAGATCTGTCTTCTCCATTAACTGAGGTATGATATTCTGACTTTTAAAAAACCTCTTTTTCTTCAAGGCTAAAATTATTTGATCAAATTAAAATACAGATGATATCAATCAGTGTCTTTCCTATTTTCTTTCCTGTGTTACTGCTTTTTAAGAGATTTATACAATCAAAATAGCATTGATGTATACAATAGCATGGTTATAAACCTTGTGTTTTCATTGTTTGACCTACAAACACTTTCTTCCACATACTATAGAAAATTAAAAATGCTCACAGTAGAATTGTGTAATTTTTCCCTTGTTCACCTTTGCCAAGATCTATATCTTTGCATGGATTATACCAGATTCCCAGCACTTTTAACTATATTGACTATACACATCCCTACATCTAGCTTTGCACCCTTCAGGCATTTGTGCTTTCCTTTGCTTCTTTTTTACTCTTACTACCAACATTTTTGGGAGGTAGATTATTACACTTTTCATCCATGTTTGGGACATCCTGCTATTCCCCGGGAGTGGGAGCTGCCCGGAGACTGCACCCATGCCCCTGTGCTGAATCAGTGTGGGTGTGTGGGTGTGTGGAGATGTCCCCTGCCTCTGTGCAGAGGGGGCTTGTGGAGGCAGCGCGTCCTGCTGTGTCCCACCCTGGGTTCAGGAGCATGTCATGTCTCTTCACACATGTGTGTGGCTAACAGGCCAAGGCCCTTGTGTGGCAGCCAGCTGGGGCCACGTGCCCAGGGGTGGCATGGCACGTGCTCGCATGTGCACAGGTTGCTGCATGATCTGTGGTCAACAAGGCCCATGCACGCAGTCCCTGGACTCCCTTTCCTCCCACCCCCAAATAAGGGGACAGTGATGGCACTCATATCTTGTTGCCTCACCGGCCTTGGACAACACCGGTTTGCCTCCCTGGCCTCAGACAACACCGGCAACAGGTCCGCTGGGACGGCTCAGGGGCCCTGGCTGCACAGCATGCTCCCTCTGGGCCCCTGCGGCTCCTGGACCTCCTCTTCCTCCTCCTCCATGCCCTTGTCAGGGCCCTCTGCCCCAGGGTTGATGATCACCTGGGGGGCACGCACCGTCCCATCCTCCAGAATGCGGTCCAGGGCGTCCAAATAGGGGCAGCTCTCTGGGTCTGCCCCTGGCTGGGAGCTGCCCCCTGTGGCCCTGGCATACGCCTGCCACAGCTCCTTGATTTTCATCTGAACCTTCTCCTGGGTTCAGATGTGGCCTTTGGTGGCCAAGCTGGCAGCCATCCGCCTGTAGATGGCCGCATTCCTCCATAAAGTGCGGAGATCATGGACTTTGGCGGCATCCCCCCAGACCTCAATCAGGTCCATGATGTCCGCACTGGACCAGGAAGGCACCCACCTTCTCTGGCCCCTGGCAGGCTCTTGGAAGCTGGCAGACTGGACCTGGGGAGTGGTGGAGGGCTGGCTGCCAGTGGCTCTGGGCTGCCAGGCCTGGTGCTAGCCACAAAAGACTATAGCCAGACTCTACCCCTTTAAGGGCTCTGGGAGGGGGAGGGAGGAGAGGAGTTTTCCTGTTTGTGCCTATAATGGCCACCAGGGCACCCTGGGAAGGGCTGGAGGCCCCCTATTTCAAAATAGCCCCTATTCCCTGTCTACACAGCACCTATTTCGAAATAGCTATTTTGAAATAGGTGCTATTCCTCGTGGAATGAGGTTTACCAATTTCAAAATAAGCCCTCCACTATTTTGAAATAATTTCGAAATAGTGGTTGGCTTGTGTAGATGCTAGGAAAGTTATTTCGAAATAACTTTTCTGTGTAGACATACCTGTCAAGAGACAAGCTTTTGAGCTTATACAAAGTTCTTCTTTAGATCTGGGAAATGTACTCAGCGGGAACATCTATACCTACACTTGGCCCATGCCAGCTGACTAGGGCTACATGGCATTTTTAACTACGGTATATACATTTGGACTTTGGGCTACAGCTTTGGGACCCTCCCACATTACTGAACTTTCTCTTTGGCATATATTCTGTGTGCTTGGATGTAGATAATAGATTTCTAGGTGTGTTTGGGATGTTTATTAGATCTGTGAAGGTAGGTGTAGTGATCTGTGGGTTTTTTGTATGCAGTTGTCTATAGGGTTACATTGCTGAAGCTAATCGTAGAGTGCAAGATGTTGACAAAGCAGCCCAGACCCTGTATGAACAACTGATAAAAAACCTGTTTAGATATTTCCACTGCTAGCGTGATCAACACTTCCTACAACACACCTTTCAAGATCTAGGGGTTCTAGACATGCCTGTTACAACATGTCGTTTATCTCATTCAGTGCACTGAATATCCCAATAACAACTATGTGGGTGAAACCAGACAATCACTATGTTCCCAAATGAACTTTCACAGAAAAATGATAGAAGACAAAATACCAAATCATTTATGGTGAACACTTCACAAAGCAGTCATTCTGTATCTGACCTCAGTCTTCATCTTGAAGGAAACCTGCAAAACACCATAAAAAGATGAGAGCCAGAGCATGAAGTGATAACTTTGCTGGACACTAAAAATCATGGACTGAACAGAGACACTGGATTTATAACTTATTACAACAATCTGTTTCCCACTAGATCTCCGGCTTTTTGATTCCTCTATGGCTGGAGTGGTGTTGATAGAGCACTTGACTTTGAATTGTCCTTTGAAATGTGTGTTAACTACTTGTGCCATACAGTCTTTCCCACCTTGTATTTAGCTGTGACACCCAGTGTATGTTTCCCAGACCTGAAGAAGTGCTCGGTGTAGCTCAAAAGCTTGTCTCTCTCACCAACAGAAGTTGGTCCAATAAAAGATATTACTTCACCCACCTTCTCTCTCTAATATTTTGGGGCCAACATGACTTCACCAACACTGTATTAACTAAAAAGAAACACAGCATACCATGTTAAAAAATCTGTTGGTTGGTCAGACTCAGCATAACAATTCAACCACTGGTCCTCTATGGACTTCCTGCCTTTTTTCTTTTTTTTCTTTTCTTTTTTCAGGTTATTTGTAACCTCAAAGTGTGAGGAGGGTGTACAAGTTATTTGGTATTCTGTGAGGAGGAACTAGCATAAAAGCAACTGTTGTGATAGTAGATGATAAAACACTAGTATAAAATCTCATTAAGCTATTGATAAGCTGGCCAGGACAACCTTTCTCCTCAAGTCTGTGTAGAGGAAGCTTACCAGGTCTTTGATTTATATCCCTAAGCACCCACGGCACTTGGGATTGGAGATACTCATCAGCTGTACCCATTGGCACCTGCCTCATTTTGCAGGATATATATATAGGCAGCCCCTGACTTGAGATGCAATTGGTTCCCGGGGAAGTGTTGCAAGATTGGGGGTGTCATAACTCGAAAACTCATTTACGATAGGTGCTGTGTGCTGTCATAAATTCGGGGTCAAGGACGTAAGTTGGGGATTTTTGGCCCTTTCTGCACTTACAAAAATGGTTGTAAGTGTGGGGGATCATAACTCGGACAGTCGGAAGTCAGGGGTTTCCTGTATACAGTGCTGTGCTGTCCAACTGCTCCCTGTTCCTTCACCTCTACCTTTGGTCTGGGACAGAATCTGTAACAAAGCCTGCTTCTCCTGTTCTCTCAGTAGATACTGTAGTGCCTTCCTTGTTGTTTGTAGTTTAGTTAGTATTTCTTTTTTTCCTTTTCTCTATCTCAACTTTTAAAAATTTTGTTTTAAAGTTACCGTTACAGTTATTTAATAATTTAGGTTTTAATTTCCCTGTTTCCTTTCCTTTGTGACCAGGAAGTTTTTTTCCCTCTCGTCCTTATGCGCCGATTGTATAAGATGTGTGTCTCTTGCGTAGCCACCTTCCCAGTGCCAGATGGCCACTTGCAATGTATTTGCTGTCTGTCAAAGGAATACGTCCCACAAAAGTGTTCCCACTGTCCCAGACAACCAGAGCCAGAAAAGACCGGGACATATATTTAAAATTTCTCCTTATGCTGTGATCTACACTGGACCCAAACCCTGACTTTCCTCTTGTGAGACCCTCACACTCTGCCAGGTCATCTGCTGATCCTCATTCTCTGCACCCTTTGGAGATAAAGTTGTTGCTTTCTAGCTTGAATTAAGAGACTTGTGCACCCTCCTAACACTTTGAGGCCAGACACGTCCCTGAGAGGTCAGTTGCCTCAGTATCATCTGACAGGAGGAAAAGATTCAGGGCTTGTGCAAGTACCTCTGATACCAAAATGAAGAAACAGTTGAAAGACCCTCTTTGGGCAGATCCACAGCTCTCTACACTGGACCTCAGGTCTGGAGACTGAGATAGGCCATCAAAATTGTTGATACTGGCAAAGTAATTGGTACTGGCAAGGGCAATGGCACAAGACAAATTGGCACTGATTAAGCCATCTTTTCCCATATATTGATTCTTCATGGTTACACATCCCACTGTCTGGGCCACACCATCCCTCCCCTCAGCACCATCTGAACCATGCTGAAATGCACCGCTCAGGTCTCTGGTGGCGATGTAAAGAACCCAGGGCTCCAGATGCCACTCCTGCTGCAATTGCAGCATCTGGGAACTCCGGTCCCCTTTGAATCATTAGGCCCCTTTAAAACAGTCACTCCCTGTGCCCCCCATCAGTGGGCCTGTCTACTCATCCCAACTATGCACAATCTACATCTGGTTCACAGTCTTGGTACAGACCACCATGGATGCAATCACACGGTCCATTTCCTCTGTGCTGTCCATCCTGGGTCCCTTGGGCCATGTATATAATACAATCTGGGAAACCTCTCATAAAGCAAAGCCAGAGACCTGCACCTCTCTCTTCTCCATTGGTCTCTCACCTTCTGGAGGCTGAACCTCTGTGAGTATTGACTGAGGAGGAAGAACAGGAAGAGGAACAGAAGGAGCAAGCTATGCCAAGATTACATTTCTCTTCCTGGATGAGGCTCTCGTGCCTCTACCCCATCATAGAGCTGGAAGAGACCTCAGGAGAGCATCAAGTCCAGCCCCCTGCTCAAGCAAGGCAGGACCAATCCCACTAAATCAACCCAGTCAGGGCTTTGTCAAGCCGAGACTTAAAAACCTCAAGGGATGGAGATTCCACCACCTCCCTAGGTAACCCATTCCAGTACCTCACCACCCTTCTAGTGAAATAGTTTTTCCTAATATCCAACCTAGACCTCTCCCACTGTAACTTGAGACCATTGCTCCTTGAACAGATCCTTGGGGTACTCCGCTAGATACCAACCACCAACCTGACATCGAGCCATTGATCACTACCTGTTGGGCCTGACAGTCTAGCCAGATTTCTTACAGTCCATTTATCCAATTCATACTCCCTTAACTTGCTGACAAGAATATTGTGGGAAATCATATCAAAAGCTTTGCTAAAGTGAAGGTACATTACATCCACTGACTTTCCCATATCCACAGAACCAGTAACCTCATCATACTGTCCAGGTCCCCATCTCTGGGACCCGGACAGTATGATGAGGTTACGGGCTTCCCTGTGGTCATTCTACAGTATAACTCTCCCTCCTACCAGACCCATTTTATGAGAAACACTCAAATTCCAGGCACAATCAAACTCTGACCTTGCTTTAAGTTATGATAAGCGGAAACTGCATACCAAATTTGATGTTTCTAGGTCTTACCATTTAGGAGGAGTTCTTGAACAAACAGACTCACAGATGGACAGACAGATGTACATTTCTAAAGTATATAGTAAGAAGATTCTGGAGTGGGTGGTCTCACATGAATTGGGGGCAAGGTTAGGGGGACTGGAATCACCTTCTTACAAGCTCCACAGAGATTAACTTGGAACTGCTAATTAACCTGGGACACACTTTCTTTCCTTTTAGAACGCACTCATTGGGAGTGTAGAGGGAAGCGGGGGAGACTAAAGATAATTGTAGCCAAATGGATTCCCTGGCTCTGTGGCTTCAAAGAATGTTGGACATAAGGAACCAAAGTTCAACAGTTGGCACAAAGACTTGAGTGAGGCAGATGGTCCTTACGTCCTGGCATCCAGTGCATATGTGAAAGTCCCTAGCTTTGAGGGGCACAGAATGATCAAAGACAAACTCTGTGAAAGGATATTACTGAGGTTTTCTTCTCCCTTAGCCTTTTTTTCCCTGGGGTTTTATTTAAGAAGAGGTCACTGGGCTCAAACTTATTTATGTGCAGCAAATATTTGCAATTTGTTCTGCAAATTATCTTTGAAATTTATAATTTCACTTGGGCACCTGTGTTTGGGAAACCTGTTTTTTTTTCTTAATTTAAGATATCTCTTTTTATTTCTATTGATTAGAAAGCAATTTACTTAAGAAAGATTTTTTTTTTGTCTTTGCCAGGTCCCATTTGACATTACTTTGCAGTCAATCATGAATTTGGAGAAAATGTTTGATCCTGCTAATGGATGTGTGATAGCAGGAGGAAGTCTTTTCAACTGGATTGTGTCTCTGCTCCCTTGAGTTGTCTTTCTGCAGTAACTTAATCAAATACTGAATTGCATACTTTTTAAGTTCAAACTGCTCCTACTAAAGGCAAAAGGAATTTTGCCATTGATATTAATAGAACCAAGATCTGGCCCCTAATAATTTGTGTAGTTTTTAGTTATATTTTGGAATATGTCAGTTTATTTTAAAAAAAAGATACTTTTCCTACTTCCCTAAGTGTTTTAAAGGAAAGAATGTCTTTTTTTCGGGAATTAATGCTCTGATATGATATTTTTGTAGTAAAAAGATTTAGAATGTAAGCTATTCAGTCCTAAATAAACTAGTCCATATTTTGCTGGGGTTTCTCCTTTTCAAAATCCTCGTGTAGATTAAAAAATGTGAATAGGACAAAAAGACTGATTACCTTTGAGATATTACAGGCCTTGTAGCTTTCTAATATTCAAAAGTAAACTATGGATTTTTCCATAAAGCATGTGTTATATGCTAAACTTTACTGTACCAGCACACTTTTAACTGCTTTTGCAAGTAGTCACCACCTAAAACTGCCTAAAACTCTTCACCTAACCTTTTTCACATTTCAATTTCACTGCTTTTAAATTACAATTTCAGACTTTTTGTTAAAGGAAGAAAAGGTCTTACATACTGCTGACAGTGAAACTGATTTGTTAGAAAGCAATGGAGATGTCTTCATATAATTCTGAAGAGATAATCTGTAAACAGGCAAATTTAAAAGCTATGTAAGTATAGTACAAATGTACTTTTCATACAAAATACTAAAATGCTTCACAAAATAACACTGAAAATATAAGTAAATGCTAAGTATTATTATGGTTTGAAAATTCTGACAAACATTAACTCAAGAAACATACAAAACATTCGTCTAAGGAAGGAAGTGTTATTCCAACTTTACAAAAGGAGAAATAAACACAGAAAAATGAAGTTGTTTGACCAAGATCACAGAGTAAAACACTGGCTATGTTTACACTCTACACTCTGCTGCATCCAGGGAATGCATCTGCTCTTCTGAATTTTTTTTGGAAGAGCATACACGCTTTTTCAGCATCCGTGTAAATCTCGTTTTACAAGGAAGAAGTGATGTTCTGTAAAAAGGTTTTTTTCTGACATTTGGCCCAGTGTCAGAAAATGACAGGCCAAATGTTGGAAAAGCCTCTTCCGAAATAAGAAGTGGAAAAAAACTACGCAAATTGCGAACTGCAATTTTCGTAGCTTTTTCCGGAAGAGCAGTGCAGTGTAGACATATAGCCACTGTGAGATCCAAGATTAGAATTTGGGAGTTTCTCGTCCCTAGCCATTGCTCAAGGTATAAGACCATTGTGCATCAAAACCGTTGCTAACTACATTAATTCAGACAACAAGCAATAAAAATGACAGAAAGGATTGAGGGAGTTAGTTGAGTTGTACCTACTGAATAGAGTTCGAGACTGAGAGTCAAGAATCCTGGATTCTGTTCTGTTTCCTGTGTGTGACTGTAAACACTTAACAGTGAAATCCTGACCTCAATAAAAAGCAAAATTTTCACTGAGGCACTGTATGAGTGTATCTCAGCATAACAAATGATGAAATAGATATGATATTTAAAAATTGTAAAGGAAAAAAAATGTTGTGTTTTTGTCGTGCATTGCTTTTATTAAAAGAGATGTGAGGGAATTGTTTACTTTTACATAGAATCACAGAGCTAGAAGAGACCTTAGAAGGCCATCAAGTCCAGCCCCCTGCCCAAGGGAGGACCAATCCCAATGAAATCAACCCAGCCAGGGCCGAGACTTAAACACCTCTAGGGATGGAGACTCCACTACTTCCCTAGGTAACCCATTCCAATGCTTCACTACCCTCCTAGTAAAATAGTTTTTCCTAATATCCAATCTGGACCTCTCCCACCACAACTTGAGACCATTGCTCCTTGTTCTGCCATCTGTCACTACTGAGAACAGCCTCTCTCCATCCTCTTTGGAACCTCCCTTCAGGAAGTTGAAGGCTGCTATCAAGTCCCCCCTCACTCTTCGCTTCTGCAGACTAAACAGACCCAAGTCCCTCAGCCTCTCCTCGTAGGTCATATGCTCCAGACCCCTAATCATTTTGGTTGCCCTCCGCTGGACCCTCTCCAATGCGTCCGCATCCTTTTTGTAGTGGGGGGCCCAGAACTGGACACAGTACTCCAGATGTGGCCTCACCAAAGCCGAATAAAGGGGAATAATGACATCTCTGGATCTGCTGGCAATGCTCCTCTTAATGCATCCTAATATGCCATTAGCCTTCTTGGCTACAAGGGCACACTGTTGACTCATATCTAGCTTCTCATCCACTGTAACCCCCAGGTCCTTTTCTGCAGAACTACTACTTAACTGGTTGGTCCCCAGCCTGTAACTATGCTTGGGATTCTTCCGTCCCAAGTGCAGGACTCTACACTTGTCTTTGTTGAATCTCATGAGATTTCTAGTGGCCCAATCCTCCAATTTGTCTAAGTCACTCTGGACCCTATCTCTGCCCTTAAGCGTATCTACCTCTCCCCCTAGCTTAGTGTCATCTGCAAACTTGCTGAGGGTGCAATCTATCCCCTCATCCAGGTCATTAATAAAGATATTGAACAAAACCGGTCCTAGAACCGAACCTTGGGGCACTCCACTAGAAACCGACCTCCATCCTGACATCGAACCGTTGATCACTACCCGCTGGGCCCGGCCTTCTAGCCATCTTTCTATCCATCTTACCGTCCATTTATCCAATCCGCATTCCCTTAACTTGCTGGCAAGAATATTGTGGGAGACCGTATCAAAAGCCTTGCTAAAGTCAAGGTATATAACATCCACTGACTTTCCCATGTCCACTGAGCCAGTTACCTCATCATAGAAGCTAATCAGATTGGTCAAGCACGACTTGCCCTTTGTGAATCCATGCTGACTATTCCTGATCACTTTCCTCTCATTCAAGTGTCTCAAAATGGACTCCTTTATGATCCCTTCCATGATTTTTCCAGGAACCGAGGTAAGACTGACCGGCCTATAGTTCCCTGGATCGTCCTTCTTCCCTTTTTTGAAGATGGGCACTACATTTGCCTTTTTCCAATCATCCGGGATTTCGCCCGATCTCCACGACTTTTCAAAGATAATGGCCAAAGGCTCCTCAATGACATTTGCCAACTCCTTCAGTACCCTTGGGTGCATTAAGTCTGGACCCATGGATTTGTGTACGTTTAGTTTTTCTAAATAGTTCCTAACCTGTTCTTTACCCACCAAGGGCTGTCCATCTTCTTCCCATCTTGCGTCGCTTAGCACAGAAGTCCAGGAGCCGACCTTGTCCGTGAATACAGAGGCAAAGAAAGCATTGAGTACTTCAGCTTTCCCCACATCCTCTGTCACTAGGTTACCTCCTTCATCCATTAGGGACTGCACACCCTCTCTGATCACCTTCTTTTTGTTGACATGCCTGTAGAAACCTTTCTTGTTATCCTTCACATCCTTAGCCAGTCGCAACTCCATTTGCGCTTTCGCCTTCCTGATAACCCCCCGGCATTCTCGAACTATACATTTAAGCTCCTCCCTAGTCATTTGTCCAAGTTTCCACTTTCTGTAAGCTTCCTTTTTGTGCTTAAGTACACCAAGGATTTCCCCTGTAAGCCAATCTGGTCTCCTACCAGGTTTGCCTCTCTTGCTACGCGTCGGGATGGTTTCTTTCTGTGCCTTCAATAAGGCTTCTTTTAAATACTTACAGCTCTCCTGGGCTCCTTTCCCTTTCATGTTAGCATGCCAGTGGATTCTGCCCATCAGATCTCTGAGGGAGTCAAAGTCTGATTTTCTGAAGTTCAAGGTGTGTATTTTATTACTCTCTTTTCTTCCTTTGGTCAGGATCTTGAAATCTACCATCTCATGATCACTGCTTCCTAGGTTGTCACCTATCTCTACTTCCCCTGTTAGTTCCTCCCTGTTTGTGAGTAGCAGGTCAAGCTGCGCACAGCCCCTGATTGGATCCTGCAGCACTTGTACCAAGAAGTTATCCCCAACATTCTCCAAAAACTTCCTGAATTGCCTGTGTACTGCCGTATTGGTCTCCCAACAGATGTCAGGGTGATTAAAGTCCCCCATGAGAACCAGGGCCTGCGATCTGGAAACTTCTCTCAGTTGTCTGAAGAAAACCTCATCTACCTGATTTGGTGGCCTGTAGTAGACACCAGCCACAACATCACTGCTGTTCCTTACAAGGGTGATTAAAGTCCCCCATGAGAACCAGGGCCTGCGATCTGGAAGCTTCGCTCAGTTGTTCGAAGAAAGCCTCATCTACCTCATCCACCTGGTTCGGTGGCCTGTAGCAGAGACCAACCACAACATCACTGCTGTTTGCTCCTTTAAACCTGACCCATAGACTTTCAACAAGTTTTTCTCCCTCTTTATACTGGAGTTCAGAGCAATCATAGTGCTCTCTTACATATAGTGCAACTCCTCCTCCTTTTCTCCCCTGCCTATTCTTCCTGAACAATCTATACCCTTCCATGACAGCGCTCCAGTCATGCGAGTCATCCCACCAAGTCTCTGTTATCCCAATTAAATCATATTTCTTGGTCTGGGCCAGGGCCTCCAGTTCTTCCTGTTTGTTGCCCAGGCTTCTTGCATTAGTGTACAAACACTTCAGGTAACCAGTTGATCGTCCTATCTTCTCCATTCGAAACATGGGTCTTCCTGTCTTGCCCCTTCCTCTCTGTATTTCTTCCCAGTATCCGACTTTCCCACTCCCCTCAGGGTTTTGGTCACCGTCCTCCGACGAACCTAGTTTAAAGCCCTCCTCACTAGGTTTGCAAGCCTACCCGCGAAGATGCTCCTTCCTCTCTTCGTTAGGTGGATCCCATCTCTTCCTAACAATCCTTGTGCCTGGAACAGAGTCCCATGGTTGAAGAAACCAAAGCCCTCTCTGTGACACCATCTGTGCAACCACGCATTTACTTCCTCAATTCGACAATCCCTGCCCAGTCCTTTCCCTTCAACAGAGAGGATGGACAAGAACACTACTTGCGCTCCAAATTCTTTGATCCTTCTTCCCAACTCTACGTAATCTGTAGTAACCTGCTGAAGGTCATTCTTGGCAGTATTGTTAGTTCCCATGTGGAGAAGCAGGAAGGGGTAGCGTTCCAAAGGTTTGATCAGTTTGGTAAGCCTCTTGGTCAAATCCTGAATTCTAGCTCCCGGTAAGCAGCCCACCTCTCGAGATTCCAGGTCCGGATGGCAGATGGATGGCTCAGTCCCTCTTAGGAGGGAGTCCCCGACCATCACCACCTGCCTTCTTCTTTTAGGGGTGGTGGTCGTGGAACGACCATCCCTAGGACTATGCATCCCATGTCTTCCAGTTGCAGTGGTTCCCTTTTGATTTCTTCCTTGTGAAGTCCCTTCCAAAGCATTCTCCATCACAGAGCCTGTGGAGAGAGCCTGAAAGTGATTACTTACCTCAGTAGGAATGGGGGATTCCTGTGCTGGCTTTTTTTTTCCTTCTAGAAGTTACATGCTGCCAGTTCTCTTCCTCGTCCTGTACTGCCCTCTCTGGCTCTTCCACCTGCCTTGCTTGCAGGATTAAATACTGCCTTCTGTCGAGGAAGTCTTCATCCTCTCTGATTGAGTGTAGTGTCGACATTTGGACCTCCAGTCCTCTAATTTTTTCCTCCAGCTTGCACTTAGTGCAGATGAAATCTCTTCTTTCTTCCGGGAGGAAGACAAACATGGCACATGCTGTGCAGGTAACAACAGCCGAACTATCACCATCCATACCTGCTAGCCTAAAAAAGGGTTTAAAGGAAAGACCAGAGTACCTCGCTCCCTTTCTTCTCCCCTTCCAAACTCCCTCTCTAAACTCCCTGTTTGCAATCACCTGTTTGGAAGCTCCCTGGTCGCTGACTCACTCCTTTATAAAGCCTTGGACTGCCTGATAGTCCCTCCCTGTACCAAGGCTCAGCCAATCAGCAGAGCCTTCTAGATTTCAAACTTAAATTAGAAGCCAACAGTTTCCAGCTGCTAGTCACAGCACACACTCGGGGGGTTGTGTTGGTTGTTTTTCCTCAACACTATGGATAAGAGGAGTACTACTAGGATTATCACATTGGAAGAATCAAGAAATCAAACCCGAAGAACTAATTAGGTAACAAATGTAACCCTTTTGCCAGGTAGTGTTGGCAGCAGCCAGGGCTGGGTTCAATATCTCGGGGTTTCTTTTCATCCATCTCTCACAGAACTGGCTCAAGCCCCCACCCAGTAGCCTGGGAAAATCAAAAAACCCTGGGAGCCTCTGAGAGGCAATGCTTCTCCACTCACAAGCACAGAGTCTGAGCATAGAAAATAAACTTTTAATGTAAGAGGGAGAGAATTAACATGGCATTAGCTTGGAAAAATACCAAAATTGTATTGGGAAAATTCCTAACCAAACCACGAGTAAACATCCCAGCTCAAATGGATTGAGCAATGTCCTTTGCCTCTCAAGCACATAAGTCCAGCAATGTAAATGTCCCATTCACATGCCCAAGCTTTCTCCGTACCCCACTCAGAGTTGCTGCCCTTGGTCAGGGTATTTCAGAGCTCAGGGGTCATTTTCAGAGCTCACCTCCCACTCTTGGGGGTGGGGGAATAGGAGGCATCTCACCCAAGCTGTTGACCACTTGCTGCTGCTCCTGCCTGCTGGCCACCTGCTCCT